TACTTCTGGACAGATCTTGAAATGTTCTTTTTGACAATGAATGCAATGCCATTCCTCTTCAAGTTGTCATTCCTGGCATAGTAGACCATATGATTATCCAATTCAAAATGACCAGTACCAGTCCACTTCAGCTCACTAATGCCTAGGATATCAATGTTTATGGGTTCCATTTCATTTTTGATAATTTCCAGTTTTCCTAGACTCATACTTCATACATTCGACATTCTGATTATTAACGAATGTTTGCAGCTTTTTACTTCTCATTTTGAATTATGCCACATCAGCAAATGAAGGTCCCGAAAGCGTGACTCCATCCACGTCATTAAGGTTGACTCTACTTTGAGGAGGCAGCTCTTCCCTAGTCGTATTTTGAGTGCCTTCCAACCTGAGGGGCTCATCTTCTAGGTTTTGCTGACCAATGTCTGATGATGGCTTCTTATTCCCAAGTCTTCACTATGCCCTGATTGCTTCCAATTAGGATCCTAAATTCCTCTGGTCAGGTTTCCGGCTCCCATCAGGAGCGGTATCGGTAGCTGGTTTAACCTTGAAGGGCATCTGTTGAGAGGAGTTAGGGTCAGAGGAAGAGGGGACTTCAGAGACAGAGGGAAAAGGAAGTTCAGTCAGAAGAGACTTGGAATCAGGCAAGCAGGGCAAAGAGGAAGCAGGTAAGGTAAGCTAAAGAGGCAGAGGGGCAGTCAGTTTCTCACACATCAGGTCTACTAGTATTCTTTGAGAGGCAATTGATCACTCCCCTGAACATCTGGAGGCTTCCAAATACCAATCAAGGAATGCCACGTTTCTTGAGGGTTCCTCTGAGATGCTTTAACTTATCTATCTGGAAATTTGCCCATAATGGTCACAGTAGTTCTAGATTTTTCTTACTCAGTTTCATCCATTTTTAACCATAAAGTTTGCCAGCATTCCTTAGATCCCAGGATCCAGTGTCTTACCTGCAAGTAGCAGAAAGACCTGGATGAACCTAGTTCATCAAGAGGTCCAGACCCAGTCTGCCCTAGTCCTGAATAAAGCTCAAAGAACTCAAAATGCAAAAGGAGCCGAGTTCAGATCCGAGAAGAAACCTACTAGACAACCTCCACAAACAGCGCAGAGACAGAAAGCTGGAACAGTTTTGCTGGTACCAGCATCTACAACTCCAACTTCCACAGAGTCCTTGGGAGTCACAGGGGTCTCCTTCAGAATCCCATGTCTGACGCCAAAACTGTCAAAAGAAACTAAGTTGATAATAGATTAATCTATTAGATGAGGTTTATTTAGGCAGAAGATTCGAGAATCGGGTAGCAACAAACCACATACGGAAAGATAATCAGTAGTGACCAGCTTACACTGACAAAAGGAGAAAGCAAAAGAACCTTATTTCTGTTGGCTTATACAATTTACTATTGAAACACTGTCACAATTTCATTGGTCAGTGAGTGTGAAAGTGATGTCAGAATCTCATTGGTTAGTAAGGGTAGCCTGATTTACAGAAAAGCTAGCTTAAGTTTTGATTAAGACAAAGTCTTAGAGGTGTTGTCCACTTGACCACTGACATAATTTTGTCAACCACATTACTCTCCATTTTTATTTCATTTAGCAGTAGTTGGATGATAGGTTATGACAAAAAATTACGGAAGTGGTAACAGAATGCTTGAAATTTGAGAAATATTGGCAGAGTGGTTATGGATTGTTCTTAAAAAACACATGTGTTGATCCATAAGGCCCTTTTCATTTCAGAAGTTGGAAAAATAATATTAATGTCTTTGGATTCCTGGCTCCCTCATTTATTAGCTACATAACCAAGGGCAATTAATCTTCTAAACCTCAATGTCCTTTTCTTTCTTTTTTTAAAAATATTTTTATTTATTTTGTTGATGTCATTGAGAATGAAACAGCAAACCATACACCAACTCAATAGTTTCTACATGTACCATTTAGTAACACTGATTACATTCTTCGAGTTGTATAACCATTCTCACCCTCTTTTTCTGAGTTTTTCCTCCTCCATTAACATAAATTCACTGCCGCCTAAGGTTCCTAAGTAATCTTTCAAGTTGCTGTTGTCAGTTGGATCCCATATAGATAGTTCTTAAAATAGCATAATGCTCAAGGCAGACATTTACTAGTTAAGCTAAACTGTTTGGTTTTAAGAAGACTTTAGGGGATATTTTTGGTTTAACGTTTAAAGATTACCTCGGGCAATAGTTTCAGGGGTTCATCCAACCTTATGGCTCCAGGAAGCCTGGATTCCATGAAAATTTTAACTTCTGTCTGCATTTTCCCCCTTTTGATCAGGATTCTTCTATGGAATCTTTGATCAAAATGTTCAGCAGTGGTAGCTGGGCACCATCCAATTCTTCTGGTCTTGTGGCAAAGGAGGCAGTTGTTCGTGGAGGCAATTAGGCACACATTCCTCCTATTTCCTCCTCCTATTCCTGACTCCCCTTCCTCTGTTGCTCCAGGTGAACAGAGACCAATTGTTGTGCCTTGGATAGCTGCTTGCAAGGTTTTAAAACCCTAAACACTATGCATCAAACTAGGATGTAGAACAGAAGCATGAAACATGTTATTAAGCCAATTAAAGGGGATGTTCCATGAAACCATGACCTTAAACCTCCAAACCAAGAAATCAAATCCTATAAGCAACTTCAGCAGCTACTCTTTTTTTTTTTTTTTTGTAAATATATATATCACACAACTTTTCCAGTTCAACTTTTTACAGGTATACAACTTAGGGACAGCAATTAAATAATCAGCTGTGCAACCCTACCCTTAATCAAAGCGATAATTCCATCACTGTTAACCCCACTGCCCCCACTCCTTCCACCTCTGGTAACCACTAATAAACTTTGTTCTCTGTACATTTGCCTTTTCTTGTCTTTTCATATAAGTGAGATGTCCATTTGAATGTCTTCTTTTGTGTCCTTTTGTGATTGACTTACTTCACTCAGCATAATGTCTTTCAGCTCCATCCATATTGTAGCATGTATCAAGACTTCATTTCTCCTACTGGCTGAGTAGTATTCCATTGTATGTATGTACCACATTTTGTTTATTCATTCATCTGTTGATGGGCATTTAGGCTGTTTCCACCTTTTGGCTATTGTGAATAGTGCTGCAATGAACGTTGGTATACAAGTCCCTGTTTGTCTCTGTTTTCAAGTCTTTTGGGTATATACCTAGGAGTCAAACTGCTGAGTCATGTGGTAGTTCTATTTTTAGTTTTTTGAGGAACTGCCACACTGCTTTCCACAACATCTGTACCATTTTGGATTCCCACCAGCAGTGGGCAAGAGTTCTAATTTCCCCACATCCTTGCCAACATTTGTTATTTTCTGTTTGTTTTGTTTTTTTATCTTAGCCACCCTAATGGGAATGAAATGGTATCTCACTGTGCTTTTGATTCGCATCTCTCTGATAGCTAATGATCCTGAGATCTTTTCATGTGTTTTGTGGTCATCTGAATGTCTTCTTTGGTGAAATATCTATTCAAGTCCTTTGCACATTTTATGTTTGGGTTATTTATCTTTTTGTTGTTAAGTTGTTGAAGTTTTGCATACATTTTGATTATTAGATTCTTGTCGGATATATGGTTTACGAAGATATTCTCCCAGTTGGTAACTTGTCTTTTCACTTTTTTGGTAAAGTCTTTTGATGAGCAAAGTTTTTAATTTTTATGAAGTCCCATTTAGTTATTTTGTCTTCTGCTGTTTGTGCTTTTGTTGTTATATTAATCCATTGCTGAAAGCTAGGCCTGACAGCATTGCCCATTGCTTTTTCTTCTAAGAATTTTGTGGTTTTTGTTTGTACATTTAGGTCCTTAATCCATTTACAATTTGTTTTTGTGTATGGTGTGAGGCATGGATCCTGTTTCACTTTTCTGGATGTGGAAATCCAATTTTCCCAGCACCATTTGTTGAGGACTCTTCTATCACCATTGAATGGACTTAGCACCCTTGTCAAAAATCAGTTGACCATAGATGTGTGGGTTTATTTCTGGACTCTCAACTCTATACCATTGCTCTATGTGTCTATTGTTATACCAGTACCAGGCTGTTTTGATTACTGTAGCTGTATAAAAACCAAACCCGTTGCCATCGAGTCAATGCTGACTCATAGTAACCCTATAGGACAGAGCAGAACTGCCCCATAGGGTTTCCAAGGAGTGGCTGGTGGATTCTAACTGCCGGTGGATTCTAACTGCCCACCTTTTGGTTAGCAGCCGTTCTATTAACTACTGCGCCACCAGTGCTACGTAGCTGTATAGTATGTTTTAATATCAGGAAGTGTGAATCCTCCTACTTTGTTCTTCTCTTTCAAGATTGCTTTAGCTTATCGAGGCCTCTTGCCATTCCACATAAAGTTGAGAATTCGTTTTGCTATTTCTGTAAAGAAGGTTGTTGAACTTTTGATAGGGACTGCATTGAATCTATAGATCACTTTGGGTAGTAATGACATCTTCACAATATTGTCTTCCAATCCGTGAACATGGATGACCTTTACATTTACTTAAATCTTCCTTAATCTCTTTCAGCAGTGTTTTATGATTTTCATTGTACTCAGTCTCCTTTTCTATAAGAGGATAATCCATGCTTGCCTAGAGGATTTCTTGTTTGCCCAAAATTCAAGTTTAACTGAGCGCCCTCTATGTTTGTTTGCTAAATCTGGCAACCCTACAGAGAAATTATTGTGAGACTTAGAGACACTGGCAAGGAAAGTCTTTCGCCCAGGGCTTAGCACAATAAATGCTTAGTAAGTGACAGCTAACGCTGTTTTAATCCCAGCCCCTCATTCATTACTTGTTCTTTCTCTCGCCCAGTTTTTAAATAAGCCAATTGAACTTGTGGCTCTTCATCCCAAGTAGGAACAAACTCTTTGCGCCACCCAGGAACCCATAAAGAAGCATCAGGCTATGCTATACGTACCAGGACACTAATTAAGCCTAGAAATTCCAAGAGCGGGCGGCGTAATGACGCACAAGGCCCGCCCCTAAGGGCGCACTAGACGCACAAATAAGACGTAGACAGGCCAGGTGCCAGCTTCCGGGCCCGACGGGATTGTGGCGGTCCTCTCTTCTAAGTCGGAAGCCACCTCAGCCTCCAGACGCTCTCAAGATGGCGACCTCTCTAGGTTCTAACACCTATAACAGGCAGAACTGGGAGGATGCGGTGAGTGTGCCTGCCGGAGAAGGACGGAAGGAGGTGGCAAAGCTCGCCCTCACGCGGGCGGGCAGGGTGAGGCTGCGGAGTGCCCAAGAGAATTCCGGGGAGGAGCGAGCTCCGCGGCCTAGCTTGGCCGGAGCAGGAGGCAGGCGGGGTGGCCCACATACAGGCTTGGAAAGAGGGGGCTTAGCCGGGTCCTGGACCAGCCCCCTTTCCATCCCTGCCCCCTCCAGCCTTTCGAGCTGGTTTTCTTTTCTCCCGCCACCCGCCGGAAGTGCAGACAGCGCTCCCTCCCGCGACCAGGTCCGTGCTGGACCTAGGGTTCCTGCCCTGTCCCCCACCCTTAATTCCCGCTCCCCTGCCCCCATGAGTGTGACAGAGATGGCAGGGTCTTCGGAACCTGGTCTTCAACCAGATTTCCCATTTTCACCAGGACTTCCCCATTCTGTGCCAGACGTGTCTTGGAGAAAACCCATATATCCGAATGGTAAGTGGTCGCGTGTGAGACGGGAGTTATTCGTGTTGTGTCAATGTTGTACTTGGCTGGCTGTCAGTGATGCTTCTTTACTGACCCAAAGTGCAAGCCAATTTGCAAAGGAGTGTTATGCTTATTATCTCACTTTGGAACTCAGCAACAATCCTGTGATCTGGGAGTCATAATAATAGCTATTTGTTGAGCATTTACCTAGGAGGTTGGTCTGTTAACCTGAGGCACAGAGAGTTTGTCTTTTCACAGAGCAAGTAATGGGTGGAGATGGGATTTAAAATAAAGTCTTCTGACTCCAGGGTCCTCTACAAGCTAGGAGGAGAAACAGGACTAGAATCCAGGTTTCCTGACTCCCAGTGAAATGCCTTTTGGCCACTACACCTTGTACTCTCTTGTGTGTGGATGTGGGTCTTAGGGCCTGGGGTGAAGCAAGGAATCCCCATCCTTATTTATAAGGGTAAAATTTAGTGGCAGTTAACATTTAATAATTAGACTAGGGCTAAGTTATTATATTGTGATCAATCTCAGAGGACATGTTGGTATGTTCAAGATGTTTGAAGAGGTTATTGGAACAGAGGTTAACTATACTATATAGGGTGTCAGCACAGGGTGAGTCTATAGTAGTTGCCTTCTGACTAAACTGGTAAAATGGTCCAGCCATGGCTGCATCCTTCCTCATTTTGGGATCATGAAAACCATTTGGAATTTTAGTTCTTTAGAAGAGAACTTGGGAGCCAGCAGTGACTCTTAAGAGTTGTGGCTGTGGAAACACATGCACTTACCTGGTGGTAGATCCGTAAGACTCTCGTGAGGTTATAATACTTAACAAGTAATTAGACTAGATCACCACCCCACCCCCAAAGGGATTTTTTTTTTTTTCTCTTTAGGATGCCGGGGGTATATCCAGACACATTTTTGGGGTTCTATTTAGGAAAAGAATAGACATCTGGTTTTTTTGTTTTTTTTTTTCTGTTAATGCCACTTCTTTTCTGTATTCATTTCAGACCAAAGAAAAGTACGGGAAGGAATGCAAAGTAAGTATGTCTATTAAAGAGTAATGATTTTACTTTATGTTCCTTTGTATACCAGATTCGCTTTCAATTTGCTGAACTTTGAAGTCCTCTAATAAAAGTCAGTGAAGGAGACCTGTTGATGGCAACAGTTAAGCGTTCAGCTGCTAACTGAAGGGTCAGTGGTTCAAACCCACCCAGTGGCTCTGCTAGAGAAGAGACCTGGAGATCTGCTTCTGTAAAGATTACAGCCTAGGAAACACTATGCAGCATTTCTCCTCTGGGCAGTCATATAGGTTTGCTGTGAGTCAGAACTGAGTCAGTGGCATACAACAATACAATAAAAGTCAGTGCTACAGCACTTTCATATATCGTTTATGTACTCACTGACTGGTAACTGTTTATTGTGGGAGGTGAGAAAATGACTCCTCTAACATAGCGGTTTTTAACCAGGTGTCGTAGATGGGCTTTGAAGCCCCCGAGTTTGTATACCAAGTGATGTATGATTATGCACATGAACATCTTAGCTGCAGAGGAAGGTCATAGTTGTCTTAAGATTCTCAAAGGAGTATATGACACCCTTCTACTCCCCCCACCCCCCGCCACCCCAAAAAAATAGTTAAGGGTCAGATTATTAATGGTGGTTATCTCTAGGGGAGGGAGACTTTAACTTTTTGAATATTTCATTTCTGTATTGTGTGAATATTTTAACTACTGGGAAAGGGTGTTCTAAATGGGATGGAAACATCAGGTAACGTTCAGACTAGGTGATTGCCAAAGTCTCTTCCAAACCCTAGGTTCAGGATTCCTTTCTTCAAATCCTTTGTTGTTATTAAATCTGGATTGATTGTCCAGCTCAGGGCCATTAGCACCCTGTGGCTCTTGCTTTGTGTTCTAGATCTGTGCCAGGCCATTCACAGTATTTCGTTGGTGCCCCGGGGTCCGCATGCGTTTCAAGAAGACTGAAGTATGCCAGACCTGCAGCAAATTAAAGAATGTCTGTCAGACCTGTCTCTTGGACCTAGAATATGGTATGTCTGCCCTGTCAGGTAGATCTGAAAGTGTAAAATACAGGTGCTCTAGATAACCAACTGGTCTTTTTGTCTCCCACCTCGCACCCTATCTCTGGTTCTGACCCAATTTTGCAGTGTAGTCTGCTTTCCCAGGAAGAGAACCATGCTTAGCCATTCCAGAGTCCTCCTGAATAACAGTAGGAACTTAAGACAAAGTTGGGAATTAATCAGAATCGTCTCCCCCATACATATGCCTGTAGCAAAAGTAAGGTAGAAGGTATTGAGCCTATGATAAGTAATTTCTTTGCTTTGGGCCTCTTTCTTGATCCAAAGCTTTTTTCCGTAATCCCAAGTCAAAGCTCATAGACTAATTCTGCTTTATATTTTTGTATAAAGAGTGGTGTTAGGACTATATATTAGTACATTGCTACTGTTTCAGAGTAACAGCTTTGGGGAGGGGGAGTGATTTTTTAACAGTGAGTGACTTTTTAAGAAAAATAATTATTCAACAAGCGTTTTTTAGTACACATTAAAAGAGAAGAGGGAAATGTGAGTTTATGTGTGTTAAGTTCAGAAACTTACTCTGTTAGTGAGAGTCCTGTCATGTTGTTTAATATTATTTATATGTTTGTTAAGGAAGTATTGTGATTCTAGAAGAGAAGGACTCTTACGTCACTGTAACTGTGGTACCAGCCTAAAAATAAACCTTGTTTTGTATTTATTTTTAAAATTAAATCTTGTAATATTAAAAACTAGATACATCATTAATCTGCAGGTCAGATCTCATAGTCTGTCTGTTCATCTAAAAGATTTTCTAAAACATTCCTTTCATCAAATTTTACGACAGCTCAGGAATTTGGGCAATTTCTTAGAATGGTTTGTAGCCATACGAGGCTGATGGTACTAAGATTTTGAATAAAAATGCAATAAACCTCTGGTACCAGATGGGAAATGGAGAAAGGAAGGAAGATGATACATTCTGTGCTGCATATATTTTAAATGTATCTGTGTTTTTTTCAATACCAGGCTTGCCCATCCAGGTTCGTGATGCGGGATTGTCTTTCAAGGATGACATGCCAAAGTCAGATGTCAACAAAGAGTACTACACACAGAATATGGAGAGAGAGGTGTGCTGTCACTTTCTTGATGTAGCTTTATATTTGATATTTGATACAATAATGCTAGTGAATCAATACAGTCTTATCTGTTGAATTTGTTGTTCCTGCATAGATTTCTAACTCTGATGGAACAAGGCCAGTTGGCATGCTGGGGAAAACTACATCCACTAGTGACATGCTGCTCAAACTGGCCCGGACCACTCCCTACTACAAAAGGAATCGACCCCACATTTGCTCCTTCTGGGTGAAAGGAGAGTGCAAGAGAGGAGAGGAGTGTCCCTACAGGCAAGAGCTGATCCTCTTTTCAGTATTTGCTTTCAGATGTTTAGTCATCCAGGAAGTGAGGGATGCTAGCTTACACTATTTCTGCTTTAAAGTCATACAGCCAGTTTATTATATTTCATGTCTTGGAACTATTATATTTAGAAGAGCTTGTTTAAATTATAGTTTGCTTATAGCTAATAACTGAGCCTTGGAAACAAGTTGCTGTGTCATGTAATATAGATGTTGGCCCTAAAAGTTTCTGCCTGAAATGTAAGTCTTCATTGTCATGGTGTAAATGACTTGAATCCCAATGTATAGGTGAAGTCAAATTAGGCTAGACTCTTAAAGGGTGTATGAGTATGTTCCAGTCAAGACTGCCGAACATCTGGATTGGGAATTCTTAACTTGGGGGTTGGTTAACAGTCCCCCTGACCCTCCAGCACAGACATAAATTATATATGCCTTTTCCTGGGGCTGGTACCATAGCTTTAATCAGATTCTTAGTGGAATGCAGGACCTCAAATACATTAAGAAACACTGACGTAAAGAAAGGTAACCATTTGTCCCCTTTTGTTTTGGCATGCATTGTGCCAAAAAGCATTTTTTCATATGGAAACTCTGGCACCCTAGATGGCTGTTTAAATAGCTTATAGGAGGCTAGGAAGTCCTTGTGTGATAGAGTAAATCCCCTATTTTGATAGTAACTCTAGGAGCACTGGGGCACAGTGGTAAAGCGCTCAGCTGTTAACCTAAAGGTCAGCAGTTCAGATCTACCAGCCGCTCCACAAGAGAAAGATGTGGCAGTCTGCTTCCATAAAGATTACAGCCTTGGAATCATATGGGGTAGTTCTACTCTGTTTTGTACGGTCGTTATGAGTTGAGATCAACTCGGTAGCAACAGATTTGGTTTTTTGGTTTTATAGTAACTGGGAACCTTGGTAGCACGGTGGTTAAGCGCTCGGCTGCTAATCAGAAGGTCAGCAGTTTGAACCCACCAGCCACTATGCAAGAGAAAGACGTGGCAGTCTGCTTTTGTAAAGATTTACAGCCTTTGACACCTTATGAGGCAGTTCTTTTCTGTCCTGTATGGTCGCTATGAGTTGGAATTGACTCGATGGCAGTAGGCTTGGTTTTTTGTTTTTATAGTAACACTGTTTTGCTAATTATATTTTGGTATGACTTCTAGTTCAAAAGTCATTTCAGGGTATACATTTGAGACTTTAATATTGCAGCTATTGTTGGGTGATACTTGTAAAAAAAATTTCCTTTGTCTCACCTTTATACATTATTTTCTCTTGCTCCATAGACATGAGAAGCCTACAGATCCAGATGACCCCCTTGCTGATCAGAATATCAAAGACCGATATTACGGAATCAATGACCCTGTGGCAGATAAGCTTCTAAAACGGGCGTCAACAATGCCTCGTCTGGATCCGCCAGAGGACAAGACTATCACCACATTATATGTTGGTGGTCTGGGTGATACCATTACTGAGACAGACCTAAGGTTTGTGGGTGTAATTATGAGCTCTTTTAGCTTTTAATGGCCTTGGAAGAATTTACTGGCAAAAACACAGGCAAGCATGATAATTCTGTATGGAGTACATTTTTCTTTAGCTACTCTGTAGTTAGTATTATGCTGACTAGAATTTTTATAAAATTGTTGTATATGATGCTAGAGTAGTAATGCTCATCAACAGTGCTTACTCCATCCTTGCATATGGTAATAATTACATGAGGTTCTGTTTGCCCTGATAGCCCATTAGAATTTTTAAAGATGGCCCATGTCTAAGCATGATTAGTGATGCAGGGGACGGGGGGCTTTGAGATTATAAAACTCTTATGGTTTAAATGGTTGGCTTTTTAAAGAGACTGGTGTTTGGTAAATTTGTATTATGTTTGGCTAGATGAAACATCTGGGCAGATGGAAATTACCTCTTCCAAAGAGATAAAATCAAGAAGAAGCTCCTTTAACTTTGTAGCATGTCTCCATTTAACCCTGGCTAAGTGAGCAAGATAATCCCCACGGGTCATTAGACCTTTTCTTTAGCAGGCCAGATAACAAATACCTTAGGCTTGTGGACCATATACAGTTTCTGTCACATAGTCTTCATCTTTTATGTTTTACAACCCTTGAAAAATTTTAACATTCTTAGTTCATGGACCATAGTTTGCCAACCCCTGATACAGGGTTTAGGATCCTTAAGGAACCAGTTGGAGCCTCCTTCCTCCATGGGAAAGCCCTGAGATGTTTGACAGCTTCTGTTTACTCTCATTATTTTTCTTTTCCTCTCTCAATAGGCAGAACCCAGATTAGGGTAAGGTAGTTAGGCAGGTAACTATGGGGCCCACCTGCATGGTGGTGAGTCAGTGAAGGAGTTAATAATCCATTTTCCATCTCTTGGAAATGTCTGTATGTTGTTGACTTTGTTTTTCTCTGGCTGCATTCTTTCAGAAATCATTTCTACCAGTTTGGAGAGATCCGGACAATCACCGTTGTGCAGAGACAGCAGTGTGCTTTCATTCAGTTTGCCACAAGGCAAGCTGCAGAAGTGGCTGCTGAGAAATCCTTTAATAAGTTGATTGTTAATGGCCGCAGACTCAATGTGAAATGGGGAAGGTGAGAATTAGACGAAATTAAAATACCTTTATTGAGATTTTCAAGAAACTTTCATTATCTGGGGACTAGTAAGCTTTTGGAGCTCTGGTAGCACAGTGGTTAAGAGCTCAGGCTGCTAACCAAAAGGTGGGCAGTTCAAATCCACCAGCCACTCCTTGGAAACCTTATGGGGCACTTCTGCTGTGTCCCATAGGGTCACTATGAGTCGGAATCGACTCGACAGCAACAAGTTTTGGTTTTGTAAGCTTTTGGCAAACAGGCTTAAATGAATAGGATCTTTAAAAAGAATTTCTTCTTACTTCTCTGTTTTATACTTGTTTCCTATGGATGTTGGGAGAATCATGCTTTAAAAATTTATCCAGGGTCTTGGTGTATTAATCTCCTTTGAAGATTTCTGTTTTTATGACCTGATGTTATAGGCTGAGTGTTATGCCAGAGAATGGAAAGTAGATTTGAGTGTTTACAAATTAATTGCACCTAGATTCTACCCTCTAGAGGTTGATTGTCTAGTGGAGACACTAAAATAGGGAAGAATAACCAAGTTTGAAAGTGATGTTTGCACAAAAGAGATACAGGTAAAAACACCGTGAAAGCTCAAAGGGGAAATGAGTTTCCAGCTTGGAACCTGAGAGGGGAATCATCGATAGCAGCAGCTGCCCTTATGGAGTGCTTTCTATGTGCTAAGCGCGTAGATGTTGCCTCTTCTAGTTCTTACAACAATTCTAGCAAGTAAGTTTGGAACCCCAGTCTTTCTGGCTTCAAAACCTTTGGTCTTGTTCCCTCTGCACTGTAGCATTTATGAGGAAAGAGTATTTGGTGAAAAGGAGGCAAAAAGTGAAGGAACCTCATCTGAGTGCAGAACATGAGAGGCAGAGGTGTGAGATAAGGTGGATAAAGTGCTGATGGTGTGTGTCTGTGTCTCTCAGATCCCAGGCAGCCAGAGGAAAAGAAAAAGAGAAGGACGGAACCACGGACTCTGGAATCAAGCTCGAGCCCGTTCCAGGACTGCCAGGAGGTAAGTGCAGACTTCTTGCCCACCCAGTAGCTTGCTGACTTTAGATGCTCCATCTGCCCTGATGTCCCCTGTCAGCTAAGGTGTTGAACCTCCTCCTGCAGTGGCTTTGTCTCCCGGCAGGACCTTGGAGGGTCTGAAAGTGGGTGGAAGCAGTGTTGCATAATTGTGTTACTCTACCCTTGGCTATGTTCTGTCTTTCAGCTCTTCCTCCTCCTCCTGCAGCAGAAGAAGAAGCCTCTGCCAATTACTTCAACTTACCTCCAAGTGGTCCTCCAGCCGTGGTCAATATTGCCCTGCCTCCACCCCCTGGCATTGCCCCGCCCCCACCCCCAGGTAAGGTCCATCTTCCTTCTTAGCAAATAGATCTGACTTCCTTAGCCCAGGGAAATCTTTGTGAAAGTCCTGTCTTCACACCACACCATCAAGTCTCAACCAGCTAGATTCTTTGAGTTTGTCCAGTAGAAGTTTGTAAGTAAACCTGGTTTTTGTTAGAATTACTGATATTTTTTTCCTGGCCTTTCCAAAGATGTGAGTATGTGTATAATCAGAGCAGGAGTTATTGCACTGCAGTGATCTATCACCAGTTTGTGCCCTGTTCTAAACTAAACCCACACTGATACCCTGGAGCACCCTTACTCAAAATGTGGGCTGTGGACTTGACATTTCACCTTCATCAAGAAAGTCTGATTACAAAAATATTGTCAGATGAACCCAACAGTGTGCTTGGTAATATAATTGAGTTACATTTTGGCTCAAGCTCTTCATCTTGTTGGTAACCAGCAATGAAGAGTTCAGGGCTGGTGTTTTGTGTAGCACGGCCCTAGAGAATGTCAGTGACAGTAACAGTGTGAGTCAATCACAAGTAGCCAGGTCGCCTGTGGCAGTGATCCCATACTGTTTGAAGAAAGCACTGGTTTCTGAACACCCTCCATTGTGGCATAGAACATTGAGGTTAATCATCCAGGTCTTGCCGTCAGCATGATTTCTTCCTCCTCTCCCAAATCCTGCCCCTGTGTGGTGGGTTTTGGCATGCTTGATTCATGGCAGGCTGAGGACATACCAGCAGGTACCTTGAATTCTGCGGAGTCTTTTTTTTCTCAACTTGGACTCAGGGGAAATGTCTCCAAAACCAAGGAAATGATATAGGTAGACAGTCCTAAACAAGTCTTGTTAACTGACATTTTAAGCTCCTTGTCAGTTTGATTTATGTGTAGATTATTTTTACCTTAGGATGATTTCAAGGTATCAAATATAGTCAAGAGAACTGCAAACCTGACAAATTTGTTCTCTTCTGTCTGTAGGTTTTGGACCACACATGTTCCACCCAATGGGACCACCCCCTCCTTTCATGAGGGCTCCAGGACCAATCCACTATCCTTCTCAGGACCCTCAGAGGATGGGAGCCCACGCTGGGAAACACAGCAGTCCCTAGCACATTGTCACCACTCCTGGGCTCTATGGAAGAAAGGGCGTTTAAAACTCCCAGTAAATGAATCTCGGAATAAATATATTTTTTCTTCCTTTGTAGTTTCCATGGTAGCTGAATGTGTTCAGATGTGGGCAGTCAGAGAACTACAGCCATGCTTTCCTACATGTATTCAAAGGACTGATGGACCTCAAACAAGCTGCCATTAACACATCTGGTTACTGCTATAACATTACTAATAAAACCTAATGGCTGTTCCCCTTACCTGTGCAGGGGACAAGTGACTGGTGAATTGGAATGTTCAACAGAGTTACCATCCCAACTGTATGTTCATTTTGTATCTTTTTTTTTTTGGCGGGGGGTAGAGCGGGGACTTGACCTGTGGTAAAAAAAAAAAACTTGACCATTTTTATGTCCATTTGGGTATTTTCCTTTTTATCATCTTAAAAAAAAAAAAAGATTACTAGTACTAATCATTGTAGTGGCATGGGTGTGATTTAACTCTTCTGAAGTCACGCCCTCGGAAGGATAAATAGACACCAGCACCTAGCACAGCCCAGATCTTTTCTTTTCCCATTTTCTTACTGAAGGAATCTAGCTGATGGTTTTACTTCCCTACGCCACCAATAAAAAAGACAGAATTACTTTTTATTCCTCTCAATCTCATAGAAATGCAAATATCATGGAGCTGTGTATCATCAAACAAGCGTGGTGTCTGGGATTGAAATTATTTTCAAGAACTTCCTGTAAAACACCTTAACAAACTGAAATGAAAAGCGTTGGAGTGTGTTTGAACGGGAGACTTGACTGACAGCTGGAACTCTGATCCACAGCATTCACCCTCGTCTTCAGCATCTTGTTTCCATTCCCTGCTGTTGGGCAGGTGATGATCTGTTTGGTCTTAGAATGTTTGGATATAACTGAATTGTAGATGGTAAAGGAAATGTGATGTTGTGTTTTGTTTTGTTTTTAAATAATTAAAACGGGTCAATTTTCCAAATGTCATCGGCTTATTTCTAAATTTCTGTTTTCTTTATCCTTGGGTAGCTGAACCCAAGGTCAGTGGAAGTTGGAAACAAGTTGTATATAAATGTGAATGTTTTTTAAATCTTGCTTTAGACTGTTTTGATTTTTATCTCTGTATTTATTCCATGCTGATAAAAAGGCCCAGGCCTTTTTAGTGTTTATGTCAAAGGTTGGTTGTGAGGTTGAAATAAGATAATGCACAGAAGGCACTTAGCACAAAGCCCAGCATGTGGTGTTTGATAAGTGGTAGCTTTAAAAAACCATTCTCATATTATACAAGTCATTTTGAAGGGAAACAGGCAAAATTTATCTACAAGGCCATTTTTCCTGAAACCAATAGCATGTCACTTTTGCCTAAAATATGTACTTAAGAAATGTACAGGCCTCACATGGCACCATTTTAGCTTCTTTGGAGAGTTTGTTTTTCTCTAGAGGGCTTGACACAACACACACACCCCTTTTTTTAAAAAAAAAATCTAGGAGCAGTTAGAAAATTTCATTGTATTTCTAGCAATATCACTGTGAAGCAATGCAGAGTATTTCCAAATATTTTTACACCCTGTCATAGTTATCTAGTGCTGCTATAACAGAAATACCACAAGTGGATAGCTTTAACAAAGAGAAATTTATTCTCTCAGTCTAAGAGACTAAGAGTCCAAATTCTGGGCACCAACTCCAGGGGAAGGCTTTCTCTCAGTTCTGGGAGAAGATCCTTGTCATCAATCTTCCCCTGGTCTAAGAGCTCAGCGCAAGGACCCCGGGTCCAAAGGGCACACTATTCTCTGGCTCTTGTTTTTTGGTATGAGGTCCCCTTGTCTCTGTGCTCACTTCTCTCTTTTATATCTCAAAAGAGATTGAGGTAAAATACAGCCTAATCTTGTAGATTGAGTCCTGCCTTATTAACATGACTGCCTCTAATCCTGCCTCATTAACATCATACAGGTAGGATTTACAACACAGGAAAATCACATCAGATGACAAAATGGTGGACAATCACAAGATACTGGGAATCATGGCCTAGCCAGTTTTGACATATTTTGAGGGGACACAATTCAATCCATGACACACCCTTTTTTTTTTTTTTGGTGTTAGGGGCATTTGTTTTGTCTACTTTTGAGTATGTAAAAGATTTATAACCAATTTATTTAAAAGGCCTATGTGAAACGTATGTGTACCTTTTTAATGGCCAAGTTCAGTGATTTTATATGTATGTAACCAACTGTGTATTCTTGCCTTGCCTTTTTGTCTGTGTATGCGTGTTTTAGATGAAAGTTTACAGCTCAAGTTAATTTCTCATTCAAAAATTTGTACACATATTGTTTTGTGACAGTGGTTGCAATCCCCACAATGTGATAACATGCTCTCCCTTTCCACCCCAAGTTCCCTGTGTTCATTCGTCCAGTTCCTGTCCCTATTTTCTCATCCTGCTTTTGGACAGGAACTGCCCATCTGGTCTCATATATTTGATTGAACTAAGAAGCACGTTCCTCTTGTGTGTTATTTTTTGGTTTATAGGTCTGTCTAATCTTTGTCTGAAAACTGGGCTTCAGGAATGCTTTCAGTTCTGGGTTAGCAGAGTGTCCAGGGGCCATAGTTTTGGGAATTCCTCCAATCTCTGTGAGACCAGTAAGTCTGGTTTTTTTTACGTGAATTTGAATTCTGTTCTACATTTTTCTTCTGCTCTGTCTGGGACTCTTGTCGTCTCTGTCAGGGCAGTTGGTGGTGGTAGCTGGGCACCAGCTAGTTCTGGTCTCAGGCTGGTGGAGTCTCTGTTTCATATGGTCCTTTAATCCTTTGGGCTAGTATATTTTCCTTGTGTCTTTGGTTTTCTTCATTCTCCTTTGCTCCAGGTGGGATGGGACCAATAGATGTATCTTAGTGGCCATTTGCAGGCCTTTGAGACCCCAGACGCTACTTACTGAAGTGGGATGGGAGAACATTTTATTTATATTTTGTTATGCCAATTGACCTGATGTCCCCTGAGACTATGGTCCCAGGCCCCAGCCCCAGCTACTGGGTCTGTCAGAGTGTTTGGATGTGTCTAGGAAACTTCTGTGCTTTTTGCTTTGCCTTTTTGAAGGAGAGGACATTCTAATGTTTGTGCACTAATTATGGATTTTTTTAAATTAAAAGCCATAAAGCAGCATAAATTTAGGTACAGAATACGTGCTCAATTAGTCTTAAATAAATCAGAATATGAGCAATTAGATTGTGATAAAAACTTTTAGGCACTTTCCAAATTCCATTTCCTTTTCCTCTAGGGGACAAGCTGAGGTACACTTGGTGAAAGTAACCTTTGCCATTCCCAGGTCTGGCCTGTGAAAACGTCTAACCCCACCTTACATGCTCCTTCGCCATCTGCTAGCTGAATGCAGAGCAGGACGATGCCTGGAAGATGGCAGCATCACACAATGGAAGGAGCCTGGGTGCCTCTACCACCACTTAGAGAACATTGTGAAATAAATATTTGTTTCTGAAGTCGTTGAGATTTGGGGATTTATTTGTTACAGCAGCTAGTGCTAATCTAATAATAACATATAGTTAAATCTATTCACAAAAATTAAGGGGAAGCCCTACTTTTGTTTATTGAGTAAAGTAGGATGGTTTGAACATAACCCTAAAGCCAGACTGCCTGGGTTCAAATTCTCACTTCAGCACCGCCCAGCTGTGTGACCTTGGGCAAGTTACTTAGCCTCTATCCAGTTGTCATAATGCCTCACTTCCTGACCCTTCTTGCTACCTCTAGTATTTTGAGCAACTCTTCCCCACCCCCCGCTGCCCATTGAGAAGGGTCAGGAGGTAAAATGGACAGTTGGACTAAGGCAAAGAGTGAGATGTGACATGTTTTGGAAATCAAGTCAGCAAGACATTGTGACCTGAAATAAGTGGAGGTGAAGGAGGAGGAGTCTAGAGTGACCCCCAGGTTTCTGGCTTGGTCAACTTCATGGATGGATGCCCCGATGGATTGAATTGTGTCCCCCCCAAAATCTCTCTCAACTTGGCTAGGTCATGATTCTCAGCATTGTATGATTGTCTACCATTTTGTCATCTGATGTGATTCCCCTATGTGTCGTAAATCCTATCACTATGATGTAATGAGATGGATTAGTGGCAGTTATATTGATGAAATCTACAAGATTAGATAGTATCTTAAGCCAATCTCTTCTGAGATATAAAAGATAGAAGCAAACAGATAACCAGGAGGACCTCATACCACCAAGAAAGCAGTACCAGGAGCAGAGTGCGTCCTTTGGACCTGAGGTTCCTGTGCTGAGATGCTCCCAGATCAAGGGAAGACTGATAATAAGGACCTTCCTCCAGAGTCAACAGAGAAAGCCTTCCCCTGGAGCTGGCACCCTGAATTTGGACTTCTAGCCTACTGGACTGTGAGAGAATAAAATTCTCTTTATTGAAGCCATCCACTTGTGGTATTTCTGTTATAGCAGCACTAGATGAGTAAGAGAGGTGCCTTTTCCAGAAATGGAGAACGCTGGAGAAAGAGAGTGAGACTGGGAAGCAGGGGTAGGAAAATGTGAGTCCAATATGGGATCCAGAGAGTTTAAGACACCTGTAAGTCAGGCCAATGGAAATCCTTAGCCCAAAGCGGGAGGGAGCTTAAGAGAGATCAAGATTTGGGAGTTGGCAGTGAAGTGGGGGCAGTTGAAGGCCTGGGTGTGGAGTGAAACTCACCAGAGATGGGAGTAGAGAGCGGTGTTTTTAAATATCAGTGGACCTGAGTAAGAACTGGGGAAGGATCTGTTAAAAATGCAGTGTATCCAGCATGTAGAAATTTTTGAAATGATGTATCTTTGGCTATGTGTATTTTCACCAAAAAAAAAAAGAGGTTGAGAAGTGAGGGTTGATATGTTGTGGGGTTGTTAACCAATGTTATAAAACAACATGTGTACTTCTGTTTCATGAGAAACTGTTTGTTCTGTAAGCCTTCACCTGAAGTACAATTAAAAAAAAAAAAAAATGCAGTGTATCCAAAGCCACTCCCATAGATTTGGAAATATGTGTTTTTAACAAGCACCCTAGGGTGTTTTATATGTTGGTGAGGCAAAGTCCACCCTTTGAAAAATACTAGTTTAGGATAATACCATTTCTAAGATTAGAAAATGCTACTCCTCACAGAGATTCTGTAGTCTTTATATTTCCCCCTAACATTTTATTATAAAAATTGGCAACTATGTATACCGAAAAATTAAAAGAATTTTACCGTGAACAGCCATATACCCACCAACTAGATTCTACAATTAACATTTTGCCATATTTGGTTTATCACATGTCTATCCACCCTCCATCCATCATTAGTCTATTTTTTATGCATTTCAGAGTAAGTTGAAGACATCAGTACACTTCATCTTTAAGCACTTAAGCATTTATATAATTAACTAGAGTTCAATATTTGTTTATTCATGTTTAGGTCAAACTTACATGGGTTGAAATGCACAGATCTTGAGTATGCCATTCGAAGAGTTTTGACAAATGTATACACCTATGTAACCCAAACCCCTATCAAAATATAGAACACTACCGTCACTCCAGAAAGTTCCCTCCTGCTCTTCCCAGTCACTACCCATCCCCCGCCCCCACCAATCTCCAGAGGTAGCCACTGTTCTGATTAGTTTTGCCTGTTTCAGAATGGGATCATGCAGTGTGAACTCTTTTCTGTTTGGCTTCTTTACACCAGCATATTTTGCGGTTCATCCGTGGTGTTGTGTATAATTCGGTCCTTTTTATTAAGTAGCATTCTATTGTGTGACTACCATAATTTATCCATCCTTCTGTTAACGGACACCTAGGCTGTTTTCAATTTTTGGCTATGGATTAAAGAATGAATAAATTCATTAAGTAATAAAAATTAATGAATTAAAGCTGCTATAAATAACCTTGTACAAATCTTTTTGTGAACATGTATTTTTATTTCTCTTAAATACTTAGGACTGGAATTACTGAGCCATACGATAGATGTGTGTTTTGTTTTAAAAGAAACTGACGGAACTTTTCCTGAAGTGGTTCCATTTTACATTACCATCAACAGTGTATGACAGTTCCAGTTGCTCTACAACCTCATCAACATTTGGTTTAACAGTTGTTATGGATAGAATTTTGCCCAGCTCTCCCCAAAATACATTGTAAATCTTAACCCCTATACCTGTGGTTATAATCCCATTTGGGACTGAATTTTCTTTGCTATGTTAATGAGACAGTATTAGTATAGGGTGTGTTTTGAGTCAATCTCTTTTGAGATAATAAAAGATGCAGATTAAGTAAGCAGAGATGGGAGAAGAGTGATGCCAAGCCACATGAAGATCATGGGGGAACAGAAGCTCAAAAGAGACAGGACTTTCCTCCAGAGTTGACAGAGAGAGAAAGCCTTCCCCTAGAGCCAGCGCCCTGAGTTTGGATTTCTAGCTTCCTAAACTGTGAGAAAATAAATTTCTGTTTGTTAAAGCCACCCACTTGTGGTATTTCTGTTATAGCAGCACTAGATAACTAAGATAAGTGTTTTGAATTTTAGCCATTCTGGTGGGTGTTAGCAGTATTTCATTGTGGTTTTAATTTGCATTTCCATTATGACAAATGCTGTCCAACACCTTTTCATGTACTTATTGACCATTTATATAACATCTTTTATGAAGTATCTGTTCAATTATTTTGCCCTTTTTTATGTTTTATTTTATTAGTTATAGGAGTTTTATATACGTTAGATATTAATCCTTTCTTAGATATGTTTGCAAATATCTTCTCCCAGTCTGTGGCTTGCCTATTCACCTTCTGTCTTTTGACGCTTTGATTGATGCCTTTGTCAAAAATTAAGTGCCTGTATAAATGTGTGTCTGTTCCTAGGCACTCTATTCTGTTCCATGTATCTGTTTGTTGATTTTACCCAGTACCACATTGTTTTTGGTTATAATTGATTTTATTTTTGCTGTTGTTGTTGAGAATATACACAGCAGAACATACACCAATTCAACAATTTCTACATGTACAACTCAGTGACGCAGTACTGCACTGTTCTCATTAACGTATGCCTTGAAGTCAGCTCGTGAAAGTCCTCCAACATTGTCCTTCTTTTTCCAGATTGCTTTGGATTTTCTAAGTTCTTTGCATTTCCATATATATGTTAAACTCAGTTTGTCAGTTTCTACAAAAACTCTGACAGGACTATGGGTGGGATTGTGTTGAGCCTGTAGCTCAATTTGGGAAGAACTGACATCTTAACAATATTGAGTCTTCCAATCTGTGACCATAGTATATGTCTCCATTTATTTAGGTCTTTTATTCTCTCAGCTAAGTTTTGAGGTTTTTAGGTTGTGTGTGTGTGTGTGTGTGCGCGCTTGTGTGCGTAAAATTTGTGTTTGTGTCTATGTTCATGAAAGATATTGGTTTTTAATTTTCTTTTTTGAACATCATTGTTGGGTTTCTGGTAGCCTTATAAAACCCACTTGGAAATGTTACCTCTTTCTCTATATTCTGAAAGAGTATGTGCAACATTGATATTGTTTATTCCTTAAATGTTTGATACAATTCACTGCCAGGAATGCCCTCCCATCACCCTGCTTCCCATGATGGACTTGCACCTCTCCTCCAAGGCCCTGCTCAAATCCTCTGGGAAGCTTCCCTGAATCCCACCCCCAACCCAGGGTTAGGAACC